AAAAATTTAGAATTTAATGCCATAAATTATATATAGGATATTTACCTGTAAGCATCCTTGCCCTTACAATTAAGTAGCGAATACATGGCTTCCTCACCCGTTTGCGGCAGTCGTCCACTTTTCATATTATCTGCAGTTGGCTCAGGTGGCTTCTTTTGATAGAAGCGACGCCAAAAAGCCCATTGCGAATTCTTTTTAAAACGCGCGTCAAATAGTCGCAGATGGTTTTTAAGCCAAATACTCGGTTTGTTTGAGTTCTGCTTAAAGTCCTGGCGCAATTGCTTCGCGTACACAATTCCACATTCACAAGCATGTACCAGACGATCGTACGCTACACTAAAGCCGAGCACCACAATATCATATATCAAATAGAAGAGCCAGGTCAGTATCATTATGGTGTATTCCAGCCATGTCCGTAGAAACTTTTTAGCTAACTCGTAGTTTCTATTCGATGTCCCAGCCGAGGTATTGCTATAGGAGTTAGTATTTCGGCTACGTTTCGACGAGTACGAATAGGAGGAATTCGAGTTGGCATTACTATACCGTGCGCGTGACTGATTCGTGTTGAAAGATGAAGAGTTAGAGGTGCTATAAAACGATGATGAGAATTTGTTTGATTTCCGTGTAGTTGCTGTTGATGTATTAGTATTGTTGGATGCTGGAACGAAACCATTATTAGTTGCTCTGGATGCACGTTCCGTTGTATCATTATTTTTTGCTGTAACGTTGTAGTAAGCATTGAAATCTTTTTCCAAATTTGCGTCATTTATTTTTTGAGTTTTTGTTACATTTGACTCCCCTTTGTTTGCATCTGTATCGTTGCGTTTATTGTTTAGGCGCTTTTTACCATTTATGTTGTTGTTGTTTTTATTAACACCGTTAATGCCATTCGGAGCGCTGCTTTCTGCAACTATTGGTCTCTGGTTGATTTTATGTCCCTGTTTCTGTGGGATATTGCTGCTGGGATTCATGTTGGAAATTACAGCGCCATTGCTGTTGTTGTTTGAACGTCTGTTGTTTTTGGCGTTACTACCGTTCAACGATTGCTGTAGATTTTCTTT